AGGCTTCCTGTCAGCTGTTAAGCAAATTGAGCTTAAATTTCAACAATGTTTAAACAATGATTACAATTTAAAACAAATAGATGGAGGTTCACTCCCATTAGTATAACTTCTCTCTTCTAAAGTATATTGATAAAATATATTAAAATTACAATCGCTCTCAATTTTATATGTCAATTAACTCATTACTATAGATGGTATCAACCTATTTACAGCTTTTAATTTTAACATAGTTTATGATTCAGTATTCTATAGTGCCAAATAGTTTAAACAGCTAGAATTACAGCTTTTAATTAATAACTCGAATAGACTATTATCCAATAATTGTCTTTCTCATACATCATTCATCAAAATACCTACTCAATCCATCAATTTTAATGCCTCACCAACTAATCCAACTTTCATTGTCATTTGGTCTAATCAATATATGACATTCATCATAGGCAAAGTAGTCAAAGTTGATAAAACAGTTATACATATGTAACATTATTTGCAAAATCAAACAATTTGTAACCAAACACCTATTACCCCTTGTAATAGATATAATCTTTTTGATAATTCAGCTCTTATACCTTATAAACAACAATAATGTCATAGTTTTTATGCTATTAAATTACCTAAAGCATACTGCTCAATAATTAAAGTTTTTACAAATCCCACAAGGGATGGTGATGTAGTTTCTCTCACCTAATGCTTCGTGAAGTTACCTTATTAATATTAACTTCTCCTTATCAATACACAACCAAACTTTTACCTAAATTAAATATTTTTCCTTTTGATCAAACATCTATTAATAGATTAGATTACCTTAAATCGCAATTTACTAATGCTAATTTCTCTAATTTTATACAGATGGTTCTCTCACATCTTTAGGATCTCCTGACTGCTGAATAGAAATAGCGTAGTTACAAACAGATCAGAACTGGCCTTAAATCTCCTTTAATACAACACTTATATTATATTCTTCTTTCTTTACATTAGCAGAAATTGTTACTATTCTTGCCACAATTTATACTGCATTACCAAACTCTAACATTAAAATCTACACTAATTCATAAGCTGTAATTGTATCATATCACAAAATTATCGCTATATGTGAGAAGTCCCCTTCCCTAAATCCTACATTTAAAATTCCATATTTTTATATTTGGATAATCTTGATGCTACTTATTATAGCTTACAAAATTACGTTAAAATTAATAAAGTCAAAGTTTATAGATCAGATCAATTTAATAACAAAGTAGATATTCTAATAAAACAACTCTTTAGTGCTCCCTTGCATATCAATAACAATCACCTGAGTCCTAAATATTTTATATATTATAATAATATACCAATTATTATTCCACCTCATTTATTTATTAAACTTCTGCAATAAGCCTCTTGGGCTGAAACATTTTTAATTCTTTCTCAACTTGCTAAATATAGCAACTATCACATTGGTTGGCAAACTCTTTTTTATGTCCTCAATAACTCAGAAAATGCTAGGGTGACATTATTTGATGCATATAAAAGGAAATAATTTAAACTCAAATTGATCTTACAATTACTTTCCATCTTAATGATCATGAATGCTTAGTATTCACAGATTTATGATTCTAATAACTGTTTCCATTGTGATAATGCAATTAAAGAATTTAATCATATTTGGATTTGTTCTAACAATACAACTTTTTTTACTACTATCATCAATAAGCATAAACAATCATTCATATCTCAACTAAAAGAACTTAATAGACCCAACAACGACACATATATTTTGTAAGTAAATCAATCTTCAATTTTGAATTGCAACTCAATTAACAATAACTTATGTTTCATAAACTTATTGGAAGGGATCATTCCTTCATCTCTCACTATATCTATTAATAATATCACAAATAACAAACAACTTACTCTTGGTCTTATATCATCCTTATTTAATGACATATTCTGCTCAACCCACAAGATATAGTTGAAAAGTTGTAAATCATTACAAATATGGAAAACCTCTAACAACATCAAAGATGATTTCACTGCAGCTTGGATATCTTTAGATTTCCTTCACTCTATACAAGCATCTGTACATAACTCTGCCTCCTTTTCAGCAGCAATTGCTCATGATATCTACTGGTCAAATTTCTAATCTGATTGTAACCACGCCTTTCCTTCCAAACATTCGATATCTGTATTTTAGTTTAGATTAGTTTTTTTTCTTTTCTGATGTATAGTTTGGTTTGGTAAAGTGTAAGGTTGGTATTGATAAAGTAGTTTAGTTCACTATATTAGTTTATAGATAATTTGTATTTTCTGTTTTATTTTATTTTTCTTGTAAATTCATAAATATTAATAAAGATCATGTGAGACTGCCACACTTAATAATAAAAAAAAAAACATTTTTGCATATCTGTCACAACTTATACTGCATCACTAAACTTCAACATTGAAATCTGTACTGATTCGTAAGCTGTAATTGCATCATATCACAAGATTATCGCTATAAGTGAAGAGTCTTTTTCCCTAAATCCTGTGTTCAAAATTTCATATTTTCATATTTAGATGATCTTAATGCAGCTTATTATAATCAATAAAGTCATGTTAACACTTACAAAAGTTAAAGTTCACAGATCAGATCAATTTAACAACAAAGTAGATACTTTAGCAAAGTAACTTTCCAGTACTTCTCTGATTATAAACAATAATTACCTAGGTTCTAAATATGTCATATGTTATAAGAACATACCAATTATCATCCAACTTCATTTATTTATTAAACACTTATAACAAGCCTCTTGGGCTGAAACATTTTTAACTCTTTTCCAACTTGTTAAATACAGCAATTATCATATTGATTAGCAATCTCTTTTTTATGTCTTAATGACTCAGAAAATGCTAGGGTGACATCATTTGATGCATACAAGAGAAAACAATTCAAACTTAAATTGATCTTACAATTACTCATAACCTTAACGATTATGAATACTCAGTATCTACAAACTTATACTTTCAATAACTGTTTCTGTTGTAATAATACAATTGGAGATTTTGATCACATTTGAACTTATCCTAATAATATAACTCCTCTTATCAACATCATCCTTGAGCATAAATGAATATTCATATCTCACTTAAATAAACTCAATAGACCCAATAATGACATACCTATTTTATATGTGAATCAATCCCCAATATAGAATTACAGCTTGATTAATAATAATTTGTGCTTTTTAGACTTATTAAAAGGATTATTCCTTCATCTTTCACTTCATCAATTAATAATATCACAAATAACAAACAATTCATCTTTAGTCTTATATCATCCCTCTTTGATGATATATTCTTATCAGTCTACAAGATATGGTTGAAAAGATGCGAATTATTATAATTATGGAAAATCACAAATAACATAAAAAACAATTTCATTATAGTTTAGGTTACTTCTGATTTTCCTCAATCTATACAAATACCTTCAAATAATTCTTTCTCCTTTACAGCAGCAATAGCTTATGATACCTACTAGTCAAATTTCTAGTCTAGCAATAATCACGCCTTCCCTTCCAGACATTTGATATCTGTATTTTAGTTTAGATTAGTTTTCTTTTCTTTTCTAATATATAGTTTAGTTCGGTAAAATACAAGGTTGGTATTGATAAAGTAGTTTAGTTTACTAGATTAATTTATAGATATTTTTGTATTTTCTGCTTTATTTTGCTTTTTTTGTAAATTCATAAATATTAATAAGATCATGTGAGACTGCTGCACTTATAAAAAAAATCATTTTTGCATATCAATTTTAAGTGTAACAATATCATATAATAATATGAATCAAAAATCTTAATTTTGATTAGTGGAGTTCTGTAAGATGATTTTAATAGCTTAACTCTATATATATAGATGTATTTATATTTTTATCTATAGAAGAATGAAATTTATTAACTCATAATATCACAAATCTAATGAGTTTAGTTCAATTTCAATAGATGAGTAAAATTATTGGTAAATTATTTGTTATATAATTTAATATATTTAAAAGTTTTGTTAAATTTTTACATTAAGCGATATTTTCACATATTAGATATTACTTAATAACCAAATTTTTTTTTAAGTATCATTTAACATTTAAACTATAATTTTATATATAATTATATATATGATTGCAATCTATCCCAATATCGTCAAAAAATTTTTTATCTTCATGTGATCTGTAATTTTGCTTGAATTAGTTGGCTTGAATTATTAAAAATTTTGATTAAACTCTTTTACTGAAAAGTTAATATTTAAAAGGCCAAATTCTTAAAAATTATCATTATAATGAAAATAAATAAGATTTAAGAAATTTCTCTTTTTTGCTATAATATTATATAGTAGTTTTTGATATTTAATAAGATTTATTTAATTACTTAGTGATATTTTATTATAGAAAAATTATACCTAAATTTATTTTTCAAAATTTTAATATTGTAAAAAAAACCTGATAAAAGTCAAATGTTCAAATACATTTTGAACAATTATTCTTAAGTAAATAAAAATAAAAAATTATAAATATCTTAATATTAAAATTCAATGAATATACAATTTTATTGCTTTATTAATTAATAAAAAATTTGTAAATATTTAAAAAATCAATCAAAAAATAATGTATTATGTAAATGATTTTTTAAATGTTCGAGAAATTGTTCTCCTTTTATATAAAATAATTTCAGATATCATAGTTCTATTGATTAAAATTTTTTTTGATACTTTTCATCTATCTGAAATTCTCTTTATCTCATTAATCTTTTCTAAATAAAAATTAAATACATAATTAATAAAAGATTGTACTATAAATATTATTAATTATTTCTAATATTACCTTTAAAAATCTCAAGTATTTTTTCAGTTATAATTATAAATTGACTATATAACTCTTTATAATCTTATAAATCATCTCTTTCATATAAATTATCACTTTCTGAACTTATTATAGATATTTTGAAATTACCTATTAGTAACAACAAAATTCTAAGAAATGGATATTAACAACAATGGTAAATTTGATTAAAAAATTTGATAGGTACTATTTCTTTACATTTTATGAGATATTTACAAATGAAAAATCAGCTAATTAAAAATGCTAGATACTTACAAATCTAATTGTTAATGTCAGTTAAATATATATTATTATTAATTATTTATGTTAAAAGTTTTTTCTATTCTTTTTTGAAAACTTTTTGCTATTTTACTTTCTTTCTTTTTAATAAAAATACTTGCTCAAATTTTTTTTAGTTATAAGAAATTACTTGCTTCATAATGATAAAAACAACTAAATCTAAGCGTAAACAAAAAATTTATATAAAAAATTACGCTTTAGACCTTTCAATATATTTCTATAAACATATTTGTTTTTAATATGGAAATTTTATCATAGCACCCTGCTCTTAACCATAATTTTTAACATTCTGGACTATACTACTCATTTCATAGATATGTTCAAATATATGGTAAGAAATGTTGGACACAAAAGTTGTATGCTTCTTCTACTACTATTATTCAAATGATATCTGAAGAAAGAAATTGACATCTATTGTTAGAATTATTGGATACTAGTATAAGTGTTTATCATAAAATTCCAAATTAATTGACATAATTCTTTTAGATAAAAATAGCCTTTGTCTTTAATTAAAGTTAACTTAAATGAAGGGTTGATAAATGAAAATTTTTGTTAGACTGCCAGACCATTATAATTAACTTGTGAATTTTTACTACTTGATAACTTTGCTAATACTACTTTTTTATATACCAAAGATACAGTTGTATTTTAATATTCTTTTATATAAAACCTGTAGTTAAGATTTACATAAAGTCCTTATCTGTTATAAGAAAATTTAGTTTAAGTCTACAAATTTTTAATTGAGCTAAAAAGTTAATTATAATTTCAGTTTGTATTTTATTATCATAATTTCTATTATTTTCAAGAAATAAATACGCTATCAAAAAATCCTATACTATCAATTTCAGCTTGAATAATATATAGCTCAAATTTTAAATTATTTGTGTTATCTAAAAAATGAAATATGCATATAAATTATTTACTTATATGGATAACTATAATAATATATAATAATAATTTAATATGCTTACTTACATGTAGCATCTATTCTAACTTCATCAATTGAAAATTAAGAATTTTATAATATATTTCATAATTTAGTTAAAAAAGCCAAAAACTTTTAGTGATTCTTTGTAAAATATAATTTTATAAGACTTCTACTTAAGCTATTTAATTACAAAAATAAAAGTATTTTTATCTCACTTATATCAGTTTTTACTAAGTTCTACCTACTAAAATGAATTTATTTTTGATGAATATTAGTATTTAGATCACGTTTAATAAGTCTTTTATAGATTATTTGTAGGAGTAAATCTATATTTTCTAATATAAAAGTTTTGATATCCTCTGAAATTGAAGTATCTAACCATATTGAATATAAAATATATTTCATTTCTATTTTAGATAATGTAAAATTTTTGTAAATAGTAATCTTAATGTAACTATTATAAGAGAAATAATGCATTGATTACCTATTACAATACTTATTAATATCAGAATTTTTCTTTTATTTTTCTTCTAAATAATCTCTTTGAGAACAATAGTAATAATATGTTGTTGCTTTAGATTTTTTTGCATTATAGTCAACTCTTTTTATAACAAATTTTGATATAATGAATTTTACAATTTAACAGATTTTCAGTATTAAACAGATTTTTAAATATAAAAAAAACCCTTACTATACTGAATTTAGTAATTAAAAATTTGTACTATGTTTAACAAATTAAAGTCAGAAAATTTATATATAAAATGCCTCTTTTTATAATGAATTTTCTTTATAACAAATTTTTTTTTGATACAATAAAGTTTTGTTTAAAATAAATTTTACTAGATTTATATATATAAATTTTGTAGTTCTCTATACCTAGTTTTTAAATAAAATTAAAAAATAAAAAAATATTCATATTACACATATTATGTCTTATGTTTCATATTTTTTTTTTATATATTTATTTTTTATGTGGTTTTTTTTACATAATACCAATAATACCAAAAATAAACTCAAAAAAAATAACTTAATCAACCTATTAATAAATAAGATAAACCTTTAAAAAAAAGAAAGTCTCTTACAGCTGCACAAAAAAAAGAATTTTATTTGAAAAAAATATTATTATCTTTTTTAAAACAAAAAGACTTGGTTAATGAATATAACGTTAGTAAAGGTATGATAAGTGACATTTTAAAGGAGAAAAATTGTTAGCTTTTTGTGAATACCAATTTATATTAAGCCAATTTGAAATATGATAAGAAAACTCCATTCTTTCTCATTGAAGAAATGTTAGTAATATGGGTAGATAATGCACTCAAAACTAGTCTCATTATTACTAATGATATTCTTTCAACAAAAGCCTTGAGTTTTGCTTTTTTATTAAAGAAGAATAAGTTTAAAGGGTTTAGTAGTTTGGTGAACAACTTTAAAAAATGACACAACTTTAAACAGTTTCATATACATGAGAAAGCCACAAAGTGCGTCATTCAAAGATCTTAAAATAATGAGAGAAAATCTCTGACAAATATTAAAAGAATATAGTCCTGAAGATATATTTAATTATGATGAAATAGGACTGTTTTGAAAGATAAAACTATGTCGAATGATATTCAATAAATAAACATTAGAAAAGAAACAATCAAAGCATCATATAATGATTCTATTTATATGCAATGTAATAGGAAGTGAAAAGCTGACGCCTTTGTTTATATATAAGTATGAAAATTCTAGGGTTATTAAGAATATTGATAAAAGAATGCTTTTAGTTGAATACTATTAGAACTAAAAAAAGTTGAATACAGGTTTTAATCTGAAATGATTACATAAAAAACTCGATATAAAAATAAGAAAATAAAATTGAAAAATTATCCTTTTTGTAGACAATGCTCTGACATATGCTCCTTATAAAACTATCTGCCTAACTAATATCACCATTCAGTCCCTTCTCTTAAATACTACTGCATACATCCAACCTTGTGATTAAGGTATCATAAATAGTTTAAGATGAGAAATGTAACTGATTTAATAATTCTTTAGTTAAAATATAATTGTCATTAACTTTATTTATATTTAATTCTAATTTAACTTATTTTAGGCACAATATCAAAAGCTTTATTTATAAATCAAATTAAAGCTTTTGATAAATTTAATAATATTATATTGAACCCTCTGAAATTGATATTAAAAAGTATATAAAATATATTGTATAAGCATGAGATAACGTTATAAATAAAACAATTGAAAATTTTTGAGTGAAAGTAAATATTTTACTTAAAGATAATCATGAAAATAAGAATGAAACTGGTAATGATATATTACTTAAACTTAAACGGTTAAAGAAAATGGAAGAAGTTTAAGTATTAATCAATAAACTAGATTTTAACAATCCTTTTTCTACCAAAAAATTTGTCAAGTATAATAAGTCTAAGATTATAGATAAAATGATATTTGATAAAGAAATTTTAAAAGCAATTTTACCTAATCAAAAAGACGAAAAAGAGGAAGATTCTTTATCACTAATAATTATTTCTGAAAAAGTTATTGAGGTTTATTATAAAGTAACTTTATATTTAAAGTAGCAAAAAATCTTTTACATGAAAAAGAAAGAGTTAAGATCTATTAAAAAACTTAAAAAAGAAGCTTTAAAATAACAGTTTGTCTCTTCAAAACAAACTAATTTTGATAAATTTATTACTATAATAGAATAGTAATTTAGGAGGTTACGTAATAATATTTACAGTTTTTTTTTATTTTTTATAAAATAAAATGACATAATAATTACAAGAACTTTTGATGTATTGACTAAATAATATCTCTGTGATCATATTAAAATTTTGTTGAAATTTTATTGAAATTATGTTAAGCAATCATATTGTTTTTTATTAATTTTTAACTAATTTTGTTGAACTTGTATTGAAATTGCTTATTAATTTTATAATGATTTTTTATTTATTACTAAGGTGATGATTTATTATTGTTGATCTACTCTGATTGTCTAATGTATTATATTTATTAATTTGTGTAAGTTATTTTTGGATTGATCTAATTTTTATAAATAATACGATGTATTATTATTTTGACTTTTGTTTTTATACAAATCAGAATTTTTGATTATGAAAAGTTCTTTTTGTATTATTTTAATCATGAGTTTTTCTTGTTATATTTAGATTGATTTAATTTTTATAAATAATACGATGTACAATTATAATATGATGCTTATATTATTATTTTGACTTTTTGTTTTAATACAAATCAGAATTTGAATCAAGATTTGTATTATTTCAAGCATAAGTAAAGAATTTCACAAGATATCAAATCAATTGATAAATTTATTTATAAAGGGAAGTATTTTTTACTATTGTATAATTTTTTACCTTTTGAAATTTAAATCAACCTTTAAATCACTTTAATTTACTCTATAAATCATATGTTTTTACAAATATAAAAATGACTACAAAAATCATTTATAAGAATAATGAAATAGACTTATTAGTCAAGAAAAGAAGAAGGAGAAATAAAGAGTATCATATAAAGTACAGACAAAATTCTAGAGAAGTCTAGCTTGATAAATCAATTGAAAATTTGATACAGTATATTTAATTTGTCAATGCGAGTTGAAATAGAAGAATTTAATACAGGATTATAACATAAGTAAATAAATAAATAACAATATAATGATAAATATAACTTAACAGTATAATTAATATCTTTTAGGATTTTTGTGATTATTAAAATAGAGCGAAAAGAGGTGGAAGGTAGACCTATACTATAGAAAGATTATATAACCTTTTCAGAATTTGATTCTAAGATAGGCCAAGTAATAATTGAAAATGTTTAAATGATTTTTTAGATTTATATTAAATATATTTACTTTTTAGAATCGAGGTATACTCGTAGAAGAAATTGTATTTTACCTATTATGAGGCAAATATAAAACATAAGGCAAAACTGTGATAAGCTTGCGAGACAAAACTGAAATAGATGGTAAAATCACGACGTACCTGCAAGGTAATAAAAATTTCAGTTTTTTTTTTATCATTTGTTTAATTTTATTTTTTTTCGTATCGTTCATTTTTTCTTTTCATATTATATATTTAATTTTGTTTTTTCTTTTTTATTTTTTCGTTTTATTTCATTTTTTTGTTTCATTTCAGTTTCCTAATTTCATTTTTTTATTTCATTTCATTTTTCTAATTTTGTTTTATAGTTTCTTTTTTTTTGTTTTTTCATTTTATTTCATTTTCCTAATTTTGTTATATAGTTTCTTTTCGTTTGTTTAATTTAATTTTTTCATTTTATCTCGTTTACTTAATTTTATTTTATAGTTTTGTTTCAATTTTTTAATTTCATTTTTTCATCTCATTTAGTTTTCTTTTTGTTTTGTTTTTATTTTTTCTTTCTTTTATTTTATTTTTTATTTTATTTTTATTTTATTTTAAAAAAAATAAATTTTTTTTTAAAAAAAAATTTAAGTAAATTA